GTTCTTGTATTGCATTCACTTCGTTAACATCGAAATTCTTCAACTCACTTGAAGAAATTGACTTTTGCATTTCTGAAAGTTGTAAACAGGCGAGGAATCATTCGATATTTGCCAAAATATGTTTTCAAATGTTTCGTCACCACTGAACTATGCATAAGTTTGATGCATTTAGTTAATGAGTTGTAACTAGTACACAATTGTTTTTCTCTGATCAACTGATGCAGTTATCCTCAAGTATTTACCCTTAATCTTAAACTAGTCAACCTCACATTTCACAGTTTTCAGCTGAATTAAGATACATGTGGAAGTTGAACAGTCATCTTTTTTGACATTTTTGTAAACTTGGCTCACAATTCGGAAGCATTTTATATCATGAGTAAACAGTGAAAACCATAAAGTATTGGATATTGTCGATATTCAACAATTGTCACCCTGAAAGGTTGATATTTAATTTTTCCTTCAGACGTTTTTTTACAGTCTTCAAAAATGATGACTGTAGCACAACCTCATCGGATCAGCATTATCATGGTGTATATCTGAATACCATACAAAAACTGGAAATTTCATAGCTAGAATACTGAACAAAGTTGCCACAACTGATCAGCTCAACTCACGGACAGAACATTAGTCAAATAAAGAGATATATAAATAGTTTTTACAGAATGTGAATTACCTTTAGTCTTGCATACAAATCACCCCTTATCTGCCATTATAAACTGTGACAGATGTAATTTGTGGCCTGGCAGCTGCAGATATAAATCAGACAATGGAAACATAAATCATATTCCCATTTCATATTGTTTCACAGAAATTCGGCAAGGTTACCGCTCATTCTGTAGGAATTGATGAACACTGGTCACTGCTAATTTCAAAAAAGTTTACCTTAGCACTTAAATAGAAATAGAAGATGAAGGTAATAATACTGCAATTTGGGATATTTAAGTTTTACATGTGTTTCTAGGAAACAATAAAACCAAAAAGTCCGCCTGCTTGCTGCTGATACTTTTCTTAGTTTAACCTTATTTTTTATGTTCCGACTAAAATTGACATCACCGCATGAGAAGTAACTGACCACTCAACTTTCGACACAAACGGCAGAAGAGACAAAATAGGCGTCTGAATCATTACGGAGGGTAGATAGTCTCTCATTCTCTGGGGTTAGTTAACTGTTGGTAAGCTAGCGCTTTACAAAACAACTCAGACCAAACTCGGGATAAATACTGGTAACACCCTCAAAAGCATAGTGGACAAGGTGGAGAAACGATCGAGCAATGCGATGACTGACGAACAGAACAACTTATTTGCTACTGACATCAAACTTGGTAGATTAAAAAAATAATTATACTAGTTTGAATGTATTAGAAGGAGCTATCACTTGCCTATTAAAAAAATTCGGACGCAACCAATCATTTGATAACATATGCTTCGACATGTACTCAGCACAACTTAACAAATTTAAGGTCTTCCCTATCTACTTAATTCCATTTCAATTCACTTTCCACCTTCATCATTCAACTCCATTGACATGGAGATACGAAAAAAAAAGGTGAAGACAAGGTACTTCCTTACAAAATCCAATTGTTAATATGGAATGACTAAATACATCACGTTGACAGTGGTACCTTCTACACACTGATGACATAGATATACAAACATTCACAGAGGGTCACCACCCGAGTTTACCAATTCATTGAGAATTCCAAATAAACAACACATTTAAAATTGAAATATCTTAGAGTAATGTAGGGTAATGTAGCTGCGATCAGCATTGATTATCAGCTGGAAGACAAATGTTTTGGTAAGAGAGAGCTTCGTAATGGGGGATTTAAAAACTGTTTTCAGTGTCTACAAGAGCTTAACTTACATCAGACTGCAGAAACATTCTTAAGAAATCATGCTAACTCCACTATTTTTAGGCTTTCAAGAAGATTTCAGCATAAGATGAGAGTGCTTTTGAAAATTTTATAACAGGATTACTGATAAAGATGCGTATGGGTTGTTACATTTTGATTTCGATAGAATGTCGTCAACAGACGCACGCATTAACACACAACCACACAATAGGGTGGGACAAAGCCATTGAACTTAAGTCGAATATGATTAGGTGGAGACAGAGATTGATTACTGAATCTTTGTTCATTGAATCAACACCCAGCCAACACATGTAATGTAATAGAAATGATGCAACACCTGTACGAGAGATGTGGAAAGTTTTACTAGCAATAAAACAACTCAAATGAGGTGACGTAACTATGAAAATCAAATGTCGAAAGTAATATGATTACATTGGTATGATTATGAGCAATAATTTATGCTTGAAATGTCATAAAGTAGATAATACTATATCACTGTATTTTATAAGTCAAATAAATAAACTGAATATGGAATTAAACGCTACTCTGTTAGTGAAAACCATCCCAGTCATTAAGAGATTATGCTTAGATATTTTTTATATTTCATTCACGAGGTTTAACTCAATACTGGTGTTCTCATGCATATTTTTAAGGCGTACATTTTATGCTTGACACACAATTTAGTCTTCTTTTAGTTATTTAATATACACATCAACTGATATGGTTCTAAGATTAAAGCATTTTTAAGAATCTTCTGTGAAATGGATTCAAGCATTAATGGAGCAACTGGTCTGACAGTTGTATTCAGGTGACTGTGTTCGAGAACAAGGTTTAAAACTGAAGGGCAAAGAACGCATAAGATTAAACTAAGAATGACTTTAAAATGCTTGAAGTTGAAGTTCTAAATGCAGAAGTACTAGATCAAAGTGCATATACAGAAATTTGGTTAACTTTAGTTTTTGAGAACATTCTTGAATAAAATCCACACGACTGTTTTCAATCAGTATACATTCTCTCAAATAACAAGCTTTTTCATGTCATTATTATCATTTTAAAGTCTGTGTAATTATTCAGTTCATGAGTATGATGTTTGATTTTTCCTACACTTATTTTCATGAGAATGGCTGTTGACTAACCCGTCACCAGTGAATTACTGTTACGTGGATATAGAAAATCTATATGGGATTCAAAACTTAGGTTTCGTGTATTTTAGCACTCGTCAGCAAGGCGTATATACAACATCAAGCGAAGATATGCCTTCTCAAAAACCAAAACAGGTGTCAGATAAGCTTTACTAATGACCATCAACAAGCACTAAATCTGGTTTCAAGGTTTTCTATAGACTGCCATCAGTTACTTGAATCTCCTTTCTCAGTGACCACTTTCCAAATTTATTGCTGGAATATGGTCAACACTGACTACTATGTGATAAGAAATCGGTAACTCTTGAGTAACCAATTATTGTGCTGAATTAGTGTTTTGATAATAAACATAAAATCTCAATGTAAATTTCAAATAGAGGACGAAAAGATTAATGGAAAGAAAAATTTCTTCATTAAATGGGTCTTTCTGCTGAATATGAATTTATACAAAGATGTCTAAACCTTATACTTTTTTATTGGCTTGGTTGTACTTTATACAAAGTTTCTAAGTATTTATCAAAAGGAGGCTCAAGTTGACTGACTGTCCTGTTGCTGAGCTGGAAATGCTCAATCTCATACATCGATTAGTTCGAAAAGTGAAAAGTACTGAACATTCTGAGATGCAGTGTAGCTCGTGCTATTTGACGAAGCCCAGTGAAGTTCTGTTGCAGTAAATCCCAAAATACACAGCGTGTAAACCAAGTTGTTATAACTGAGATGCGACGCTGACTCTAACAAGCTATTCGTCGGCGTATGTAAAACAGAAGCACTTACAATATTAATTATGTAAAGTGTCTGGAAGCTCAGTTAAAGACATATTTCTCTCATCTGAGACTCAACAGCTAGATGTATCTGCCTCTCAGTGAGTACTTTTGTTCCTTCTGACAAACTAGTAGCAGGTTAAAACATGCCTTCTGAATTACGCTGCTACGCAATAGCCATCATTAAAAACCACAAGCTATAACGTAAGCAATTATTCACTGGAGGTCATTAAGCGTTACTGACCAGCCAGTGAGTTGATGCTTCGAATACCAGGTTTAGTTTCTGACTGGGATTTCAAGAACTTTTGGTGCAGTTCAGTTTACCAATGTTCTTCACAGTCGACGAAAGATAGATTTCGGGAAGTTATTTAGTGGTATTCAGTGACTGTTGGAACTCTGGTTATGCGATATGTGTAATGGTTGACTTTAAGAGACTGATAGCTAGTTCTCTTCACTAATTACTTTTTGACAGAACAGCCTCAATAGTAGTGGTGTGAGCAAGTGAGTGACCTGGACAAATTCATTTATTTACTTGAAGCCATTGAAAAGTCTAGTGCGTTGTTTGTTTACTTATTAGTTTTTGATAGTAGGATAGACTATAATGCCTGAGGAATATATACAAGTGGAATAGAACAATGCCACTTGGTATTTTAAATTAAGTCAACTGCCATCGACCATAACAATGAGCATAAATTAGAAATGACTCATTTTTCTGAATTCAATTCGCCGTAGCCTTATTGCTTTCCCTTTTCTATGCCCTAATGTCATTAAGTTGAGGTGACTCATCTAAAATTTCAATTTAAGAAAGGCTCAAATAAAGGTGGAGATAGGATTGTCCTAGGTATGGTTAGCCGACTCATATGTCCCACGTGAATTTATTTTAAAAATGAATTTCTACGTGCATTTGCTCGTATGTGTGTATCGTACGCTCGGACTACCATATAGACAGTACTGCCATTATAAGACCATTAACATTCCTACAGCTGTTTGGTCAATCGGACACAAGGCCAGTGGGACAGGTCTATCTAAGTTTGTCAAGGCTAAATAGCTAACCAATCAAAAACACGTTTTGAGTTCAATAAGCCATTTCATGAAAGAAACATAAAATACTGAATCAGTTCGGAGGTATTTGAGGTGAGCACTTCCTCGGCTGATGTAGTCATTCCTGTGTCAGTGTATCATCACCGTTGGAGTTGTATTTTGTAAAATATTCTTGATACACACTGAATCTCTATCGGCCGAACATGACTGAAATGATGGCAATGGGTTTTGAAGGGTTTTATGATGTGCATTCTAGTCCATTAAAACGTGAAGAAGTTTACGACTATAAGGTGAGTTGAACTTAAATGTTGAGGCGTTTTCACTTAGTCCTTATTTACTTTTAAGTTGATATTTCTGTATCAAAAGTATCCTTGACAAGTTTGATAGTTTACTTTATTTTGGTTGTAACTGTATGGGCCTTCTTAGAATTAAATATTCAATACCGATACCAACTACATCGTTAAGTCATTTGAGGAATGTCGAGTTATTTACGTTTATTAACTGCTACTGGTCAAGATTTGCAGTGGTTAGTGTGAAATGATGCAATCACTACATGGTTATTTCGAAGATGGTAGCTGACAATGTGTTCCCAAACAAACGTAAATTTTGGTATCAATCTGTAAATCAGACGGCCTTTCTCATGGAGTGATTCAAAGACTACATTTAATATAGATGGTATTTTATGAGCAACTATCCAGAATCAGAAGAATTTTAAGATTGAGGGGAATTCTTTGACTTCTGCAAAGCCATATACTATAGAGTCAGTAGGTATCAAGGTTTTCCATGTTTTGAACCGTTTCAACCCAAAAGGTGGATTGTATAACTCCCATTGGAAACCGGTTTTGTAATGAAGAGTAGTGATGTCAAGAATCTTGACATCGGGAAACTGAAACTTTACATAACTCTCAGTATAGTATTTTAAAACTGACTCAACTAATGGTGCGTTTTCACATCATAAAACTGAACAGTTTACTGAGAATATATTGAGTACTCCTGTTTCTTCACAAATATGCTACATGATTTCGGCTTCAATTTTTATCCAAGCCTCACTTCATGTTTTGTTTAAACTACATGAAGATATCAGCGACATGAGACAACTTCAGAGTGACAATACATGTGGCTATTTTCGCATATTAAGTGTCCGTGATGCTCTTGAAAACATGATATTGATCTGGTTGCATAAGAGTACTTGTCTAAATTTTCAAACTGAAGTGGCATCGTCCCTTGTCAAGATATCACTGCAATAACTAGACGTTCACTAGTCCTTGACTTTTATCTTTAGTATTAGAGGTTATTACAGAAATGATTTTGAAATATCCATCTCAATTGCTGATTTGATGTAAAATGTGTTGTTAGTGGGGGGTCAACGTGTAACAGGACGAACACGTGAGCTTAAAGACAAAACACATGTTGCTGTTCGAGAGTTTTGTGGCGCCAAGTCATCCAAAACGTGTGATTATTGGCTTCTGCACACTTCGACGAAACTTTACCCTGATTTCGAAAGTATTTTATTTAAATTTGGCTATGAAAAGGTGATTAACTGGTTTATAGCATTCATAACCCTTATTTTATTCTTTGTTACCTAGCTTAACAGTCCGCCTTCATTGTTAACGACTTGATACATTGTCTACATATGTATGTAAATATTACACCAAGCCGCTAATAAAACCGTTAGCAAAGACTCATTATCTTTAGCTACGAATACTCCATGATTCGTAGCACTCCAGTCAGAGATAACTTCTTTGGTGTTACTGCTATCACTAAAGCAGTTGTTTTTAAAGAATAGCTATGTTAGTTTTAAATACCTGGGGTCTTTTTTCTAGTCCAAGCGCTGCATTTCTAACTATAGTTCTGGAGTTCAAGAACTGTCTGATCGTCTTCAGTTTGTGCATTTGAATACTTTTATCTCGTGTGTATGATCGTAGTCCAGTTGACGGCATTGAATTCGCCTGCAATACTGTATTTATTCATATGTATCTGCTTTGCAGATTAATAAACAGCATATTCGTGTATAATGTTGCAAATTAATCTGACCTTTGCAGAAGTGTAAGTCAACATATAATTTCTTTCAAGGACAGGGGTGTTTCGATGTTACACTACCAGTTGGTGTAGTCAGTGGCAACGCTCTTTGTGATGCAATATTCATAATCTTCATTGCAAATTTGAAGTTTTTTCTTTACAACTGTACTTCTCTAGAGCCATATCATAATGAACTCAATATTTTGTGTCAGTAAACATCGTGTGTCCGTTTCTTTCTTGCTATCTTTTTTTAGGTGTGAGACATTCAGTAGTCATGCATTGTTCAAAACTTTTTATTTCTAATTCAGTTAAACATTGACAGTGTTTAAAACTGGATGATTTCTGAAGCAAACAACTTCGAGTGTTTTTCATGCAAATAGTAATACATAAGAAACGAGTTAGCCACAAATAGTTAGCTCTGGTCTTCCGTGATTGCTATGCTAGTTTGATGTAAATCATCCAGAAATTATTTTTTCAGTTGTTTCGTTCAATATACAAGTAGATGAAGTTTCATGATGAGGGCAAAGCAGTATCGATTGGTCTAAACCTTTCAAATCTTTGTAGCCTTCGATATGCAATCCTTGTGTAATTATGGTTCAAATTACATATTCTCAAATAAAGCATACGAAGACAAGTAAAGCTTAAAAAACGCTGAAGTTGTAGTATGAATCAGCCTAGTGTCTTCGAGTATTTATACTTACAATTTCTGCAGTCCTAACATACTTGATTCCAAAAGCTAATACTAAGTCTTCCAGGCGATTATTCTATTTTCACTAGATCGTTTTGGGAAATCGAGTTGTATTGTCAGCCTTCACAACATGGGTGGTTAACACCGAGTACGGAAAACTTCGTGGAGTTTCTGATTCTCTTTTATGTACTTTTCATACCAGTAATGATCTCAAGACTCAGTAGAAGAAGTAGGATTTCTGTATACAAGCTAACATAAAGCCATGGGTGAGGTCGTTTAGTTAGTAGGAGTGAAGTCTAAGTATCGGTTATAATTTTTATTTTGTTTCATCGGAGAGAGTAATCAATATGCTCCATTTCTAATGATCCACTCTTCTTTTATCTTATAAAGACGGTAGTGAAAATCCACTGTTGATTCACAATCCTTAGTGAAATTACCCACTTGAAAGGAATCAAATTCTTATCTTCACTCTGTTGATTTTAAGTCTTCTTTAATTTTCCGCTATTATCAACGTTTATCCGACTATACAGCTTAAGATGCAAATGTGACAGTGTTTATTTTACAAGGAGATACAGGAAGTTATCAACCATTGAACAGAGTTTAATTTCAGTCCTTATAAACGTTTTAGACTTATAGCAGAACTGGAGTAAAATGTGGTACTTCAGTCGTAGCTATTGTTTGTATTATAGACTGCATGGAGCCTCATTATGAGACTTGCGAAAATTCACTCATCAGCAGTAACCGATGATTGATACCTATCTCACTTTAATAGTCAACAGAATTCTACATAGAAAAATTATCTTATAATATGCAATGAATTTCAAAGTGGAAACTACCTACATCTGCAACAAATTCTATGATATCTTTAGGAGTATAGGAGTATTAGACGAACATGCCACTAAGTGTAAACTTTCAATATTTGAGAAAATAGTTCAGATTCAATATATGTCTTTAGCATACAACTTTTGTTTAAAGTAGCTGTCAGCGTTATTCACTGAATTCCTTATTAGATATCAGTTTCCGAGTGCACTTACCTAAGATAAGGATTTGATTGCCGTGTACTTTGCCTTAATGGTTCTATGTTTCTGCAAACCTATTTTCACTTTAATGATGTTATAAATAACGTTTTCATTCATTCTAATAACTTCTTAGTTTGTTGAAAAAAGTAGAAATCACATCAGATTTACCAGTTGTCTATGTAAAGTGTGTAGTGGTTTGAATCGTCGATTGTGATCACATGAGTGTATAGCAGTAAGTTCACGAATTCACTATGACACCAAGTAAACTAAATATACCCTTAACCCCTATTTAGTGCATAGGGATTCATCTACATCACAATATATCAGTAAAACGTGTCTTTCATAACCTTTTAAGTTTCAAAACACGTGGTATTTATGTTTCATCACTTTCGTCACGATTGGTTAAAAATCTGTCACTGACACTTCATGTGCCAACATGCCTTACTTGCAAGTAAATATATACACAAGTTCACTTAAGAACGTACATATAAGCTAACAGCTGTCCGTTTTGAATTTTCATGAAATCAATGTGTTTATTCATAGAACCGAAGCATACACTATAGCATGTAAAGAGTTCAACAGCGAATGGACTGTTTCAACCCATTCAAAGGATTTATTTCTAGTCTTATTATGAACAGTTTAATCATTCACTGATTGAAACAGTATTTCCTACCAACACAGAAACTTTAAAAAACTACAAGCATTTAAGAATAAGATTAGAAAAGAAGAGAAAAGGTAGGAAAAGATCGAAAAGAAATTTCATTTCAATAGCAAGATAAAAGCTGGTTATATTTACATCCCTGGTATTGATTTTGGCAATATCACGTGAAATCTTCATTTGGTCATGAAAATGAAGATCGTAACTTCAGGGATTTAACTATGAGTGTATCTTACATGTCTGAAACATAACTTAGTACAAAACCGTACAAAAGAATTTGCTTTTCATAGTTTCTTTTGGCTGTCAATCATTTTTACATCAAATATCGTAGAACGATTTGTGAAAAAATAAAAAATAGTTGACAGGGTAAGCTAAACGTGAACTATGAAATCATTTGCGTACTGGTGACCACTTTTACTACCTTATTTCAAGCTATATTGATGACTTTTCTGTATAATACATACTTTTAGCCTCACGAATCTTAGGATAAGCTATAGGACTCTGAAATGAAAGCTGATGATACATGACAGCATAATTAAAGGTTGCATGAACCTGACTGTGAGCGTAAACAAAAGTCTGTCATGGACCATATTTTTATGCATTTTTATGCCTGCCGAAGTCTTCAAATATTCGTCTATTGTTTTCCTACTGAAGGAGTGATTCATTAAAACCTCTGACTCCTCAATCAATCTATATATTTATTTAGCCAACTATAACAACTTACGCTCAACATTTTTGGTTGTATTTATGATTTCTGTCGAGCTGTGGTGTTAAAAAGGAGCCTATTTACTTACAACTTGTATATAAGAGTTAGAGCATGGCTTAATAGTGAACTGTACTGCCTAAAAATATAGAGATTGAAATTTGTTGGAAAATGTCACAAAAAATAATTACTTTTACTTAAATCGATGGGTGAACATGAGTACATCATCAACCGCAAGATTAGAAATTAGGTCGGTTTTTCACACATTTCCGTGTAAGTATTTTCAGGAAAACGACTTCATTTATATACATTCGAATAATTAAATGAATTTTCGGTTGAGCCATTTAATTTACTGTTCACAGGGTATAAGCTATAATATCTTGACAACTCACTTCATGATAGGGAAACATGTATTTAAGGTATACCAATGAAATAAGAATTTAAAATCTTCCAACTGTCTTGTGACCTAGTAAAGTCCCTGTCTTCACTGAATGAAACCAGTAAAATTAACTACACTACACTTTAAGGGTACCAAAAAAGAAGTTAGATTTCATAATACATGCATACCAACAAATGCTGTCTAGTTTATTTAATTCTGTCAGCTTAGATTCTTACCATGATGTGTTGCAAAAGCTTAGAGTAGTTGGCTACTAAGAATTGAATTTACTTATTTACATTATGTCGCAAAATTAATTCGCAGAATTTGTTTGATACGATATTATATATCACAGCAAGGTTCTGTAGAATTCCGGGTCAAAAGAAACATGTATGAGACTACACTGTACAAATGGGTGATAAAGGACAATTTTAAAGATGATAAAGTTGCATTACAGCAGAAAAGTATTTTGCTCAATATATACTTGACTCATCGGCATAAATAATATCAGGTATGTTCAGATTGCGTGTTCATAGCTGATGATAATACAGTTAACAGATGTTTGTTATTTTATATGTTGTTTAGCGGTAGTTCTCCCCTGTTTTTATTGTCTTTTGATGGATTGATAGGATGGTCAAATGTCCTTTCGGAAAGTAATTTGCAATCATCAACCAAACGGTGGCCGATCAATTCGGTCCAGACCAATCAACGACGGGAAACTACAAGCTATAACGTAAGCAATTATTCACTGGAGGTCATTAAGCGTTACTGACCAGCCAGTGAGTTGATGCTTCGAATACCAGGTTTAGTTTCTGACTGGGATTTCAAGAACTTTTGGTGCAGTTCAGTTTACCAATGTTCTTCACAGTCGACGAAAGATAGATTTCGGGAAGTTATTTAGTGGTATTCAGTGACTGTTGGAACTCTGGTTATGCGATATGTGTAATGGTTGACTTTAAGAGACTGATAGCTAGTTCTCTTCACTAATTACTTTTCGACAGAACAGCCTCAATTGTAGTATAGTTCGTGATTTATGTACTGAAGTCATTGGAAAAGTCTACTGAATGTTTTGTCCACCTATTAATTTTTGATAGTTGGCTGATGGTACCCCTAAGTTGTTTACCACGCACAAGTCAGAAGAATACTTGAAGAGCTGTTTGGAGTTTACTAGTACAAAAGACTGGTTTGCTTTCAGTGTCTTCAAAAGCCTCAGATACACCGTTTTTAGCTAAAACATCTTGTTCATACGAAATTTTATTCGAAATGTTTTGATGAATTGAAGAATATCAAAATAATGTATTCTCACATTTCCTTGTATCCTAATTTTTACATAATGTCAAGAATTTAACAATGATGCACAATGCTCAGGTTTATAGGGAAGTATCTGCTTTCAAGTTACTGTGTCTGTGTGTTACAGTTACATTTCCAGATGATATGGTAGTCTCTGTTAACGTATGAATACTTTTTTCGGTATTTTATGTCGGTCTCCACTCATGATTTGTAACGTTTTTGTTTACTTGAACACCATTATTTTGTAAGGTGCTCAAGTAACACAAGGGCATTCAATGAATCTGATGAAGTTATTAGTTTCACCACCTAATCAATTTACGAGAAATGCTTAACTCAAGAGTCTTATTTAATTTGCACATCTGTATGAGTCAAATCAAACTTGTCGAGGTTAAAGTGTTCATTTTCTTTGAATATCTTTGCTAACTCGCTCTCTGAAGTAGTGTGAAATACAACAGAAATTAGGCAGTCGCATTTTTTATCAGTTATTGGTTGGATGATTTTACTTTATTTAATCTTGGTAGTTCTGCTTCTTTTTAACAATGAATATTCACCTGATGTTTGGTGTTCCAAAGTAAATATTCTCATTGCGTATTTCGTGATCATCAATGGAATGCATTTTGTTTATTAGATTTTTTGATTATTTCACGGCAGCTTCGTTGATGGATCATAATTGATTAAACAAACATTATAAACATGAAAGCATTCAACAAGTGATATATATTCGCTTTGAAGTGTTAATTAGTTCGTAGTACCACTCCGTTCAGGTAGCGAAATCGAAACTTTCAGTCAAAATGAAGGTTTGCTTACGGATAATTCAGATAGTCAAGATACAATCGTTTGGCGTTTATTACCGACATGTTACATTTATAAGAGTTGATCGGACAACCAGTGTGCATACCTACGGTTTCCATGGGACTAGTGGTATCTTGATTGCCAGTGGTATAGAATTACTACCACCACTAATACATAAACAATAACAATATCCTATTATTATAATAGTATAGGTTGACGATTGAGGGTGGGATGAAAATCTGGGCCACAGCAAGATTTGAACCGGCGACCTCCAGGTTAATAATAGACGAGTAACCATCCTGTCACAGACACTAGATATCTTGGCAATATTAGCAACTGATTTCCTGTGTTGAAAAAAACCCATCAGCTATGCTTTTAATTTTTCACAAGTTTGAAGAGAGAAAACAACCAGGGATTATGAGGATAAACATCAACAAAATTCTATGAAAAAAGTACGAAAATACTTGAAGCTGGATGACGTGCAATTTTAAAATATTTTTCAGATTTTATTGTATATTATTATCATAATAACTGAGTATTAGTGATAATATTTATCTATTGAAATTGTAAGCAGTTTATTTTCTTCTGAAGCAATATAAAGATTTGATGACAAGGCCCTTGAGCATTGATCGATTGAATTTAACTTTTAATCAATCATATTGTTCATTTTTAAGGGGTTTGATTTCTTCTTTTTTTCTCCGTATTATATTTTTGGATTGAAATGTATCAATAAAACACATGACCATTTATTGCAGCGAAAAATGAATTTATAATCGACAGAAAAAACAATCAATTGTCACTGTCTCCTTTACAGCGTTATCCATAAAAATTAAAAAATCGTAGATATATATATTGTCTGAATTCAGTATGCCTTTAGAGTTTGTTGTAGAATGAGTACGTGTACAATTCTATAGCTTTTAGGAGTTACTCATGTAATATCCTATTTATTGTTGAACACCAGCATGAATTAGACACATTTTTACCATATTAACTAGAAGACTTTTGATATTCCTAACTAGTTCGTTGGATCACAGTGGAAGGAATACACTTGGGATCCATTATTGTCGATGGACGTCATCCCTAAGCCTCACTTCTACCGTCTAAATATCAGTGTTAATGTATCGAATTATGATATTGAGTTTGAACAAGAAACATGAATATCCCTCTGGAGGTTCGATATTTGCTTTTCTAGTAGAGAGTACCAAGGTGTGTTAAGTGATATTTCGGTACGTAATCATTCAGTGCAATTTTACTCACTAACATCTGAATATATGAAAGTTTGATGTATTATTTAACCTAGAAGGGTTTCAAAATCAATTCCCCATTAGTATTATGGAATGGCGCAGAAAAGTTTTTGGTGGGATATGTAAATGTTTTTGTAATTGGGATTTGTTGACAAAGAACTTTAATGATTTTCGAAATATCATCTTAAGTTGAAAATTGAAGATAATAATTATTTTCTGGAGATTATTTACTAGATTCGAACTTAGGCTATGAGAAGAAAACAGCGGTTAATTATCTTCCCTTCCGAGCAGTATTACGTACTCCATTTGTGTTCATTCTAAATGAGAGCTGTTTCGAACTTTTTGTTTCCGAGACTGAATAACATATTTCCGTTATCTGTTTGATCGTGGAAACTATTCTACCATTTTATGGTTCATGATTCATTATCGCCATCTCTCATTGATTCCGTCCGACATTGAAACAGTATGTGATGAGTGAATTGTGAGAGAGTTTTGATCAAGTTGTGTATAATTTGCTTACTTTTGCTTTTTCGCTTAGAAGAATTTCAAATATAAACTTTGAGAGGATTTCTAATGTACCGGTGTATTTTTTGGTGCAACTTTCTGCAGCATTCTTCACTGGCTCTGTTCATCCAGCATATTAATTTTTAAAGAAAATAACCTTCGCAACCTCGAGTTTATTGAATAAAACACTCTTATATCTTGTTTTCAGTCACGAGGAACGTATATGTGCAACCTCTCCGGTTTGACATCACCAACAGCTTCAGAACAATGTTCATCGGTTGGAAGTAGTTATCGGATTGAACAATGTAATAGTAGTACTTCAAGCAATGAATATGAAAGTTTGCTCGATTTAGATTTCATTCTTGAGAACAGTGCTGTTACACAGAAAACTGTAAACATATCAAATTTGTGTAACTGTACATATCCTAGTTCCGTTATGAATATCAATTATTCTTTTACCAAATCTCCAGTATCTCAACTCAGACCACCAGTTTGTACTGAAGTGATTTGTTCACAAAACTCTACTTTCAAAAGTTCTAATGGAAAGTATTATTACGATCTTGGTTCGAATAATTCACCGGTAGAAATAAAACAAGAACCAATTTTTCCTGAAAGTTCTGAATATAAACATTGTCCAGATATTAACCAGAATAATTCCTACAACTGGACTTCAAATGTACCGAATACCTGTAGTTACAGTGCGAATTGCAATGGTGTCATGGATGCAGGTCATTACATACATGCCACAAATGATTCAAGAGCAAGTGATCTACAATCTCAACATTCATCTTCTTCTCTTGCTTATATGCCTTCAATTATCCCAACAACAGATATGCCTCCAATGGATCCCTTTGAAAGCTGTCAATCAGGTCTACAAAATCAGGATCAAGCTTCTCTACGTTTTTATCCTACTGTCACAAATCTTACCAGCCCTATCAATCCAAGTATTATGAGTGAAAATACTCTTGCGGCGGTTTATCTACCACAAAACAATAGAGTTGACCATTCACAGCTACATTCTTTACCTCCAACCTGTTCTGTCATAAATACAATAAATGACAACAGTACATCTGCACCTGTTCATACCGTCAGTTTACAGGATTACCGCAACGGAACACAAAATGCAGGGTATTATATGAACATGTATAAAGTTGATGAGTCGAATCTTTCAGTGAGCACACCGTATCGAGTACTGGCACCCAGGACTGCATCACCTGGTCACAATCATGGATTTACATCATTGAGTACTCCATGCGATAATAGTGTTTACCGGGACTCTTCACTAACGTCTGCTCATAGTCATAATAATATTGGTAGAGGTAAGAGTTCAGCCATGAAATTAGGTGTAACACCTCATCAAGATATGCTTGCATGCAATATCCCCGGATCTGGAGAGATTTCGCTAGCTCCAATGCGTCGTACGCGGACAAGCAAAACAAAAACTGATACTTCGACTAAAGGAACTGGAGGTAATTCTAGTGGTAGAACTAAAAAATCAATAGCTCTAATTCATACTTGTCCGTTTAGTACATGCGCGAAGGCATATTCTAAGAGTTCGCATTTAAAAGCTCACATGCGTGTGCATACGGGAGAAAAGCCTTTCCCATGTGACTGGCCTGGATGTGCTTGGAGATTTGCTCGATCAGATGAATTAACTCGTCATTATAGAAAGCATACTGGTGATCGACCGTTCCAGTGCAGAACATGCCATCGAGCTTTCGCACGCAGTGATCATCTTACTCTGCATATGAAGAAACATCAAACTGGGAATTGAATATCCAGTCCTCCAACAGTTTATATTATCATACTGTATTCTGAAAGTATACTGCCTAATTGAATAACTGAACGCTAATTATACGCTTCCATTAAACTATACCATGGTATTACAATTACTATTGTCATTATGGCTATTGTTATTATAATCAATACTGGATAGACGTAAACCATAACTAAAGGAAGATTGCGCATATATGGGCAGCATTTTTTTTCCATGCATTTAGTGACAAATAAAACATGTGACCTGGACATTACAATGACACAGTTTACATGTAGGTAGACAGGATCAATGTGATAATATTAATATTCAATTTCTGTGCTGTGAATTTTCATTTTTCTCCATTTAAAAATGCCTTTCTAATTGAAACTTCGTGATCCAATGAAAATGTCAATCTTAATGTGAGTGAGCTGCATTATTACAAGCCTACTAGATTTTTGTGTTTGGACAGCTTTTTTCCTGCAAAGAAGGATATTTGTTTTGCGTTTTATGCTTATTTACAGTTTTAATTCATAGACAGTGTCAACAAAAGTAATATCATGATATTTCTACGTTAGACATTAATTGTTATACAAAATGATTGACTGCATTTGATCTTTCATTGTGGATTTCTGTCTTTTTCCTGACTACTACGACTACATATCATGTCATCATTATCAATATCACCGTGTACACCATCTACACTTACACGTACTCATATACATATCTAAAAAGTATTGCCTAGTAGGATTATGACAATCCTGTTTACGCCTAAATCACAAAATAAACTGGCTGTGACCTGCCTTTTTTTTTAAACATTTCTTACTGGTTTACCCATACGTATCTATCCATTGTGCAACGCGCAAACGTATGCATATCATATCACTATTACAGTGTTTTTGTTTTCGAGTTTTGACAAGTATTTTCTGACTTTTCACATGGCTTCAACGTCTTGGTTCCCTTTTAATGGTATTCTTGGTTTTTGTGTTTACATTTTTGATAATTTGTAACTTATAATTTATTGTTAGTTATTACTGTTATTCTCATCACTAAATTTAGTTACTGTGACGTATGTGTGTTATTACTACGTTCCTGTTTTGTAGACACTTTTAAAAAAGCATAAATCTCTTTTCCTTTATCTTAGTTGTGACATTCATTATGCTTGGTGGCTGTGCATTCGTTACACGGAGTCATAACTCAACTCCATGTCTTCTACGTTGATAAAGTTACCCAAAAGGGCTGTGAAACCTTAACCATATCATTGTTCCCTTCCTTTTAAGATAAACAGAAGTCAAACAAAACTAATGATGGGAATATCAACTAGTTTTCGTTGTCATATCCTTATATTACAGTGTTTTTTTGTTTTAATGAGCTGTAACTCAATTCCTAATATATACGATTTTACTGTTTGTGTTATTTTTCCTTTCCACTGAGTTATTGCGGTGCAAAGTGAATATGATGTCTATCATTGTTTCCGTTAGCTGATCTAAACACCTAAGGAAGTTCAGTATACACATATATGTATTTTCGAAATTGTTCCTATTTTATGCGTTACATATGTGAAATAATAGTGTAGGATATCTTATCCACTGTTATAATGGTGAGAGTATTGATGACTAGTCTGTTGAGGTATTTTCGTGTAATGTGTAGACAGTTACTGAGGAATTACTGAAGCTGCCCTGCATCTGTTGAACTACGAAAATCTATAGTTGAGCAGGAAATTGAGTTTAAAAACATTCTAACAAGTAACCTAGTAAAAGGTAGGAGGGCTGTGTAGCTTAACTATCTAATATTTAATAGCTGCGACTTGGCTGGTGGCCTTTATCCAGTTGTTTTTTTCCGACAGGTGCCTGGAAGTTACGTTGAAATGAGCTGATTTACCAGTTCCGGCTCTGATAAGTGATATTCAAATAATTTTATTCTGGAGGTTGAGGTGAGATGAGAAATCGTGACCGGGAGAGAGAAAAAAACCAAGTCAGACCTAGTGGAAAATGCTCAGTTATGGCATCGGATGCAGATCGCGCTACATCGTAAATTGACAGAAGTAAGGAAAAGTAGACCATTGGATTCCAACCGAGTGGCTAAACTGCATGTGCTCGCTATGAGATTTGGAGGTCGTGGATTCGGTTCCCGGCACGGTCATGAGCACGCACTTCTGAGTCCCATATTAGGACGAAATAACTGTCAATTGCTCCCAGGTTTCCGATGTTTCTCCAACTGATATCAGTTCATGACCAATACCATGTAATTTTAACCTGCCGAGTCTTAAGATTGTGAATTGAAAATTTATGAGTAACAAATGATTTTTATTGCGATCAAAACAAAAAGCATATATCGCAAGTGCTAATTCCTAAGGTAATTTACAATATGGAAATTTATATCAGAGTAAATTCATTGTATGGGATTTCTCGTTGTCATCCAAAGTTAGGAATTTGCTGCAGCAGCACAGACTATCCCCAAAAACTCACCACTAAAATTATTATATGGAGAAATTTATCTTTTCAAAGGGTTGACTGGATAAAAGTGTGTGAACAGTACCAAGATGTCTCGTTGATTTGCATCATTCGATGAGATTTGTAGTCTCTCAATTTTACTGGTTATATCTTAGCCACAGTCAAATGTTCTTATCCTTTGGGTAGTGATAACTTTATAGAGATCTGTAGTGGATTCGCAGTTGAGCATTACTATCATCATATAGCGTTAGGGTTTTCAACAAGAGTCTTATGGATGTGACTTATATGAAGCGACAAACCAGATATGGAAATTGAAGTTTCTTATAGCTTTGACTGAAGAAGTTAGGCATTCTAGATCTTCCATTTTTTAATCTTTCGAAGCACTAAACGAAGAGAAAATATTTTAATTGAGCTTTCATATGTCGGTTGCACTAGTTATAGTTGTTCCTGTGGTATGGAAAAGTATCTCAAATCAACCAGTGATTCTTGTACTATAATGAAATGAACTCTTCAAAGTTGGGTGACAAATTTTATACTTTTTTCGTTCGAAAGTTCCCACTATTAATTCATACAGTTTAGGGAACGATAAGGATGTATGGCTGTAGGACGTGAGAAAGGGGTCATCGAAAATAGTGTTCTTCATTCATCTTAATTTTTAAAAAAAGTTTATTGAAGGGATCTGTTAACTCGCTGGATATATTATATCAAAGGAGAACTTCGATTTGTACTACAAAAAATGGTTATGTGAAAATGACACCCAGAAATAACAATGATGTGTATGATCGTACCATCACAGGGTTGGTAGATCTAGTTGGATAGATTAAAGATTACATTTCTTATCTAATTTACTATAGTTGACAGATTCTAATCAATTCGTTCGCGACGGTTTTTCTCTACTGTTGATTAGTTACACTCATAACAGAAACTTTTAATACATTGTGAAATGAATTCTGAGAGTAAGGTGAGTAGAGACAAAAGTAGGCAAAAATGGAGGTAGAACTCCTGCTTTGTTTTCTAAATGAAAAATAAACGAATTCAAGCCGAAATAAGAGTAGTTCTGAATTGACAGCTATCAGCACTTTACAATTTGGACGTTATAACAGTGGTTTCTTATCTTCCCTGCAGTCAGGTATACACGATAGCTTGGACTTTTCGTTTGGACCATGGTTATGTAGTTCAGATAGTTTTATTAAATAATGGCGATCAAAAAACATATTTCTAGACTTGGTGAATTTTTTCACACTCTCCATCTGTCCTTTACAACATTCAGATGTCCTTTGGAGTACTCTACTGTCTACTAAGTTGTGCCTTAGATAAACGGTTGTTTTTAAAGTAACTGAAGCTTAACGAATACAACACACTGGTGATATATGGGTGATGACAAACAATTTTGGATAACATTTGAGTTACAATAGGCCTAGGCACGCCTGATCGCAAAGAACCGAATGTTACCTATGATTGAGGTGTAATCCTAGCTGGTCAACATTATGGATGCTTACAATTGACTAAAAAAAAATTTCAAAAAAGACAGTTTAGCAAAGACATCTTTCTCCTGAATTTATTCTATAAAGCTTTTTGGCCTCGGTTTTATACGCTTTGCCTGCGATATTTGAGAGATACAGAAATTACTTTCATGAACATAGTCATTAAAAATTGGCTAAATGGCAGTCACCATCTTTTTTAAATAGCAAGATAAAAGTTTAATTACAGGTAATAACTAGTTACAGGAGAGTACAGAAACTAGGAGAATTTAAAGGCTTCAATACAAAGTTGCGCAATGTGCCAAAGTGAGTGGAATAAAACTGTAGATAATATTCGGTTATAAGTGATAACACGTGCAGGAGAAAGGGTTGCTTTTTAAAGCTGTAATTACAATTACGGTGGGAAACAGTAGTTGAACGAGTCTTTTTTCTTTATATAACTAACTGTGGTTTCCCTACTCCTCCAGTAAGAACCTCTGCAGTACGAATATGTAGGTAAGTTTTTACCACTGTTAATGAACTTGGACGAAGAATTGGTTATGATGTTGATGAGATGTTCGACACTTCTGATGGACCCACTAGTGCCTCTGAGGTCAATTTACATAGTACTCTTAAAACTGTTTGAAAAGAATACATATTAAACAGCCGGTATACCTTGCTGCATAGAGAAAGTGAACTGATATATGTGCTGAAGTGCTAAAATGTGGACCTTTTCCCTTTATGTTGCTAGTAAATGTTGAGTAACTGGAGAATATCCCTACCAAATTTGAAGTAAATGAAGTCCTCACCAATTTAGTGGTCTTATACGTTCAGATTCATTGATACAGAAGTAAGATTCTCTCTTTAGGGTTGGGGTTACGTATATTTGTTTGGAAGTCATAGTGAATATCTATTCTCAGATAAGATTTTCTCCAGCCAAATAAGTTCGAAGCAGTCAGGGTTTTCCATTGATTAAATAGAATGGGCACAGAGCATAATCAGAGTAATCTTCCAAAAAATGGCTGTCCAACTGTTAAGCAATATCAATAAACCATTTTAATAAGCGCTTTGTGTATTTATACTTCAGTATTCAATTATATCTTTTGAT